GCCAGCGGCGGGCTCGGCCCCCTCGCCGCGCCCGCTCACCTCGTTGTACCAGCCCACGATGAGCTCCAGGTTGCCCACGAACTTCCGGAAGGTCTCGTACTGAGAGAACAGCTTCTCGGCACTGTCTGGGATGGCTTTTTGTTGCTGGAAGTTCAAGTACTTGACCTCTCTCAGCACTGCCACCAACTAAGGCCAACAGAGACCACAGAGCCCGTCGGGGGGTGGCCTCCGCGGGGCGGCACGTAGCAGCACAGGGAGGGCCTGTCCCCGATGCCTCTACGGTCTGGGGCTGGAGCTGGAGGCGGCGTGTGCGGGGTGGGGCTGCTGGCTGGTCGGGGCAGCCTCACCCACTGACCGGGCAGTGTGGGTGGACAGGTCATCCAGCTTCCCCTCCCGGGGCGTTTGGAGGGAGACCAGAACCCCACCTGGCCCCTCCTTGGGACCTAACCTTCTGTGCGTCTCCTCCTACCTGCCACCACCCAGGAGGTCGGGTCAGTAACACACCCCATCCCGCAGAGCTGCCGCCCTCACTGCTGGTCCAGGGCCATCCCGTCAAGGCCCCAGTGACCTGTGTCGCTGAACCCACCGGTCACTTCACAGGCCTCGTCTCCCGGGACCTTGCAGCAGCTGGCCACCCCTTCCCTGGACACCAGATGCTCCTAGTCACCACCATCAGCCTCTTCCGACGCTTTTGAGATTTGCATGTTGGGGAGCTGCAGCGCGTGGTCCCCCCATCTCCTCTCCCCTTGGTGACCCCCCAACATCACAGCTTTGAGAAGCATGTGGACTATTCCTGCGCTTTCGTCCCGACCCAGACCTGCCTCCTGACCCTGGGCTCCTGTATCCACCTGCCTCCTTAGCATCTCCATTCGGGTGTCTCGTGGGCACCAATATAGCCAAGACGGAGCAGCCGGTGCCACCCTCCAGCAGCTGTCTCCACCTGCGGTTCCGGCTGACCCAGTCCCACCCTCCGGCCGCCAGCCCACCGTCGCCGGCTGATTCCTCTCCTCCTCACGGATCCATTTCCAAGGGCCTGAAATCTCACTGGCTCTGTGACCAAAACCCAGTCGGCCCTCACGCCTTCTCTGCAGCCACTCGCTCCAGACCAGCAGCCTCTCATCGTCTCTCCTGGGTTCTAACGGGGGTGCCCCCTTCAACCTATTCACCTCACAGCGCCTGGAGGGACCCTTGAAAATACGGCCCCGCTCGAAACCCGGCCGTGGTCTCAGAACAAAGGCCCAGCGCCCCCCAGGCACAGGGGACACCCACCGCCTTGCTGAAGTTGACCCGGATGAGGTTGGTGGCCGGGTCCCGCTGGATGAGGGGCTGGCCCAGGTTGAAGCGGCAGTCGGCGTCCACCCCCGACACCCACTGCAGGTAGATCCTCTCGCGGTAGCTCCTCAGCAGCTCCATCATCTCGTCGTATTTCTGGTAGATAAGCTTGGCCTCCACACTGGACATGACCCTGGAGTCAGAGTCAGGCGGAGGGGTGAGGCGCGGGGCACCTTCCAGGGGTGTGACGCGCCATCTCCTCGGGGCTCCGGTGGCAAGATCCCCGGCAGCAGTGGCCCCACGTGGCCGGGGCTTGATTCAAAGCTGCCAGCTGCCCCAATGTTCTCCGTCCCTTCTGATATCAGACCGATGGGAGGAAGCCAAATAGGCTCCCCCTGGGCGGTCTCCCAGGACGTCCCTCTTCCAGGCCCCAGTCGGGCTCACCTGCGCCCCCCCAGGTTCTGCTGGGAACCCTCCCATTCCTCTGCCTGCCTTCAGGTCAATGCCAAACGCAGGTGACAGCGGCCACCTCCCTGCCGCCACAAGCACTGAGCAAGCGGCCTGGGCCTGTTCTCACGAGGGGGTCTCTGTGGATTTCCACCTGACTGTCCGTCAGGGGGGAGGGCAGGCGGATTCCTCCTGACCACCCATGTGGAGAAGGCACCCAGAGGTGGGGACACACACAGGCCTTTTCCGGGAAGCTTGTGCCTGAAAAGATGAGGCTCGGCCGGTAGGAGGCGTGGGGCTGCCTCAAGGTTTTCCCAGCATCACCCCCCACCCCAGGGCGGCCCGGCTGCTCCCCCGACTCACGGGTGCTCGATGTGCTTCAGGTGCCGCATGGGCACCTCCAGCCGCTCCTGCAGCTCCAGGCTCCACTTGAGCTGCCCGGCCACGGGGGGCATGTTCTTGTGGATTGGCGGGATGTTCCCGTCCGCGGAGGCCGCGATCTGGGCGTCGTACAGGATCTTGGTGTTGTCCAGCTCGGCGTCGAACAGCTCCAGCATGACCGAGTAGCGGGGCACCACCTCGGTGAGAATCAGCGGCCGCTCCAGGAGGCCCCCAAACATGTACAGGAGCTGGGGAGGAACAGGAGGCGGGCCTCAGGGAGGCCTCCCCACCGCCGCCCGGGACCGGCCCCGAGGAGACCCGCACCAGCCCCGCGGCGGCTGGCATGATGCTCCCGCTCCAGCCAAGCGCCAGGAGGGAGAAATACACATCCTGCCAAGGCAGAGACACCTTCTCTGCGCAGCCCCTGGCTGGGCGATGCCTCCAGGAGTCTTGTGATGACGTGTGCCGGGTCCCAGGATACTGGGCTTATAAACCCGCAGCACACGCCAGGTCCACGGTCCGGGGAAATGTATTCCAGGCCCAGGAGAAACAGGGTTTGGGCGAGGAAGAGCCCAACAGTTAAAAAAATACGATTTAAAAACTATAAAACCGCCCGGCAGGCGTGGCTCAGTGGTTGAGCATCGACCTCTGAACCAGGAGGTCACGGTTTGGTTCCGGGTCAGGGCACAGGCCCGGGGTGCAGGCTCCTCCATCCCCAGCGGGGGGCGTGCGGGAGGCAGCCGGTCAGTGACTCTCGTCACTGATGTTTCTCTCTCTCCCTCCCTCCCCCTTCCTCTCTCTGAAATCAATAAAAACATACTAAACAGACAGACAAGCACTGTAAGAACAGCTGGGACACTGCAACTGCGCAGCCAGGACGTCCTCTGACAGCCAGGCAGAGAAATAAAGGCCGAGTCGCAAAAATTACTCCCCCTAGGAAGGCACTCGCCCTCAAGGATGTGCCCAGGCAAGAAAACACCCCCCTCCCCCCCCCCGGGGAAGTTTGCTCTACTCGGAACAAACAAGGGCCGTGGGGAAAGGGGAACCGGGAGGGAGGGCGCCGAGCTCACGCTGCGCGGGGTCCCCAAACGGCGGCACTCACCCAGCGCTGGGTGTGAGCTCGCACCTGGGTGAGCGGAGCGTCCCGGGGCTGTGGTAGCAAAGTGCCAGCAACGGGGCAGCCTAAACATGACCTTTTGGGTGGCCACAGGGAAAGGGGGAGCGATTTGCAGGTCCCCCCAAAAGCCACCTGGAGCGGCCACGACCCCTGGGAAGTAACCGAACCTCTGATGTTCTCCTGGGGCCGCTCCTTCCTGCAATT